ATATTAGTGCTGAATATGGCTTCATCCGGGTGAAATTCTTGCCCCCCAACACCACTCCTCTCATCCAGCCTATTGTCCAACAAGTCTTCTCTAATTTCAAGAAGCTCTACACAAATGCACTTTTCCAAAGGTGCTTTGAGGTGACTTTGGAGACACAGCTAACCCTCAGGGACTTTTGGAAAGATCATTTCAATATACTCCACTGCCTGAGGATTATAGACAAAGCCTGGGACCAAGTTTCTTACAGGACGATGCAATCTTCCTGGACGAATCTCTGGCCAGCCTCTGTATCAGCCAGAGACTTGGAGGAGCCTGAACAGAATGCTGCAGTGATGGAGGAAATTGTGTCCCTGGGGATGTCCATGGGCCTGGAGGTGGACAGTGAGGATGTTGAGGAGTTAGTGGAAGACCACAATGCTGAGCTGACCACTGAGCAGCAGCAAGAAGTGGCTGAGGAACTGTCTTCAGAGGAGAAAGTAGATAGTAAGGGAAGCATCCCCACTGCAGACATTAAGGAAGTTCGGGTATTGGTCTAAAACACAGAGCCTTGTAGAGAAGTGGCACCCCAATATCACAGTTGTGAACAGGAGTATCAGCCTGTTTAATGACAATGTAATGCAACTTTTCAACAACAACAAAATGACAAAAGCAAATGACATTAGACAGATTTCTCTCCAAAGAAAAATCAAGTGGTTGTAATGTTAATGAACCAAAACTCTCTACTAGTGGATTCCAGATGAAAGAAGGGTAATTCACCTTCCAGTGAACAGTAATATCCCTCCTACTATTATTATTGGTTGATTATTATGCAATATTTTTTATATATGTACTATTATAAATAAAAACATTCAGTTATTGAAATTAAATATACGTGTTTTATCATTATTTACCAATATGATCTTTTGAAATAGGCACTTATAATGTTTTATATTGGGTAAATTTTGGGGGTCTGGAACGGATTACTTCAATTTACATTATTTCTTATGGGGAAATTTAACTCGAAAGTCGAACCGTCTCCTGGAACAGATTGTGTTCAAAGTTCGAGGTTCCACTGTACGCACATGGTTATATGTTATAGTCTGGAGATCACTATTAAATTCTCATACTTGTTATGACAAAGTGATTAGACAATGGATGTGGCAGTGAACATGGTAATGAATTGTTTGGTTTATAAAGGCAGGGAATTTCTTGACTAGCTGAGGGACCTTCAGCTTCTCAAGAGATTTTTGCTCCATGGTGTTCATTAATCTGAGATATTTTGTCTTATTTGGTATATGTGTCTAATGTGTGGAAATACATAATTTGTTCTTAAGATGACCTACTGTAATGAGTCAGTTGGTTA